CTGCACAGCGACAAACGTATTCCTGCTCTGGCCTTCAGCCGGCAAAGAAAACCAGCGAGTAAAAAAGCTTTATAGACACGAATGGACTCCTCACAAAAAAATCTACACCCATTGATTTTCTCCTCCTTCAGTCAGAGACTCGGGTTATCTCGTATGATCTGGGATTTAGTCACTAGAGCACAGACCCAACGCCAAGGCCACACTGGTAGACAGTTCCGTCCGTACTGGTGGGTCTCCAGTACAAACCACATGAACACTGAATCAAGCCAATCGTTTACGTTGATCGCTCTTTCTATTTGCCATTATGTTGATACTAAGTACTTCTGTTTTCAGAAATCTAACCAGGCGAGCCAACATGAAGTAAACCTACGTTTAAAAGTACATTGTGTGCATGTAACCAGCAGGTTATGAGGCACAACAGGTTATTTTCGATCCTGCGCCTCATAGTGGTCAATCCATCCCTACCCTGCCTGTCGAACGCCGCATGCATTAGACACGAGGCGCCTACGTCACTGCTGTTACTGAATTGTATTTCAAGATCATCTGAAAGAAAAGGCCCTGTTAAAACCCACAGAGCTCCCCCGAATATGACAGATGAAACAGGACGTAATGAACTAAGGTAGAGACGAGGAGGAGCTGCAGCTTGAAGCCTTCTGTATGTGTAACATCAAAGCACCACTATCAGATAACCACGGGGTCGCTGCTCCAATTATGTCCCAAAGCACCAGCAGCCCCCCAATTGGTCATGTTGATGGACGAATGCAGGGAAAGCATTGCAAGCTAAATCTCAATCATAATACAGTAAAATAAAAAAGATGTTGACCTGTTGGAATGGAGGACAAACAGGGGGGCTGGACGGACCTGACATTGGGTCTGGCAGGGCGACCCAGATGGAGCATTTTACAGCCTGGGGCGATCGGTCAAAATGTTACCAGATCCGAATCCCTCCCCAAGTTACAGACAAAATTGTCCCAGATAAATGGGGCTGGCCCTCTTGGTGGCCCACTGGAGCACACCTCAGTTCCACAGCCACTCGTTGTTTTACTTATTCAGGAATCCTGTACAACTAGGACAGAGAGCGCTGGCAAAAAAAAAGAGATCAGACTGAAGAGCTGAAAAGGAGGACAACTGCTCAACCACCCAACCAACGGTAAGCTGAGAATCCCCTCCCCCCCCCCCCATCACACTGCTTTTCCCACTGCACACAACGACTGCCCCTGAGACGTCTGTTAGGAGGGCGTGAAGTGTGCACACAACACTTTGGTCATCGGCCCCAACCATCACATCACAGAGTCTTCCTTAAAGGGTTTGGGTGATGTGAGCAAAGAGTCATGGGCGGTATTTTCTCTCCTTTTCTACAATTACTGTATTATATCTAATGACAAAATGAAAAAGGAACAACACTCAATTAATGAGTCTGGCACTTGACTCTAGAGGCAATTTGGTGGAGGATATATTAGGAAAAGGACAGGATGTTTTGTGATTTTACTGGGGGAGGGGGGGGGGGTTTACCTCTGAAAAAAAAAGAGCTGCACCATTTGGGATCCAGCATTCTACAAATACACCAGCAATAATGAAAGTAATCCATTACGGTACCTTTTTAAATAACCTCATTTACACTATTTGTATTTGTTTACAGTTTACAGAAACAATACAAACATAGCATCTACATATTGTCTATGATATAATGGAGTCAATAGTTCACATACTTGGCCAATAAAGTTGGTTCTGAAATGTCAAAAATGGGACACTTTTTCTGGCCCCCACTTTGAGAATCACACATTTAGATTACAATCCCATGAAATACACTTTTATTCATTTATTAATTGCTTGCCAGAATAAACTATTCTGTTATCTACTACAGTGGTCCCCAACCGCCGGGCCGTGGACCGCTACCGGTCCGTGGGCCGTTTGGTACCGGGCCGCACCACAGAAAGATTTTTTTTCTTTTTTTTCTGAAAAATGTTTTATTTTGAAAATTGACCGGCTTTTCTACTAATTATGTGCGCTCGTCCCTCTGACATATTCCCCACGCGTCACCAGGCGTTTTTCTTCACGATTACAATTGTCCTCTTACCGTTGGGGACCACTGGTCTGCTGAACACGCCAGTGGCCAAATAATGTAACTGCAGCACTGAAAACGACCAGAAGGCAAAAACTGCCTGTAAAGATGTGTACATATTTACACCAATTGTCAAGTTATAAAAATCCTGGATGTTATTTGCAAAGATTCCAGAAATGGGACAAACATAAGAAAGATCAGTGTTTTTTAGTAATAATCCACCATTTTCCCATATATTTGCTCTGATATACATTATGAACATAAAGTAAAAAAAGAACCATTCTGTTAACACTATCTGGGGCTATTGACAAGTTTATTTCTTTTTTTTCTACCTTGCTAGAAAGCAAGAAAAGCGTGAGAATGGTCCAAAAGGAAGTGACATCCTTGAATCGGCACAGGTTCACTATTTTGAGGAAGCTCATGGATTTCGAGTGGGACTTTGTATGACTTTATCACTCCCTCGACTCCATAGAATCACGCACAAACCCTTCACAACCTCATTTACTGACTGACCACCCAACCACGTCTGTGTCTCACTCATTGGGTGGGGCCATGCAAAGCAGCGAGCCACGCTGCTTGTTCTCCCGCGGGGTCAATAACTAATAATCATAATCCTCCACAATATTTTGGACCACCACTCGTCGGTCGGAGTTGTCAGCACATGCGTCAAAATACTTTAAAACGTGCAGCCTGCATCGGGAACCGTGTTTCAGGAAGAGATTCGACCACTGAAAAACGGCGAGAAATTGTAGTAGGCCTAATGGTTGGCGATGGGCGCTCTCATGTGCAGCGAGGAGTGGACGATTCCAGGAAAATAACTCCAGACTGTTGAACGGTAGGAGAAACACTCTCATCTCCCTCATGATTCATATATGTTCACGTTCAAAGTCATGGTTCGGGATAGAAAGGAGGAGTTTGACCGGTTCGCTAGTTGAAATCGACAGTCCAGTCCGCCTCTCGCCAGGTTCTCCGTCACCATGACAACCAGTAGCACCCGCGCACGCAGCCAGGAGCTAACTGACAGCTGGCAGATGGCGTAATGGTAAGAGAAACACTGAAACATTGACGTTTTGGCATCGTTCAACAGCCTGTCCGGTTTTTGAACAAAACAGCATCCATACAGCTCCACCAAAATCTACAGGAACTGCGTCTGCATGGTACATGATGTTAGCCGTTAGCTTGTTCGCTCGGATTGGGGACCAGATTTCACCACCTTCACGTCATATTCCCACGGCAAGACATCGTGTGCTCAAGCAAATCCAGGCGGATCTTTTAAGAGCCACCCGGACGGTATTACTGAGCAAACGTCCTGCAGTATTACTTAATATCGGGTAGCAGCGTGTCCTTAAAGCGACAGGCTGTACTTTATCGTCAGGCCCGACGTAGAGCGGAGGACCGGCAACCCTCGAACTTACCCATGAGGGGAAGACGTGGTGGTTCCAGCGCATTTTAAATGTTCCGGCGTCTGTGAAACGACAACTCTGTTCTGCAGGTGCTGCGTTGTCCTGTTTGGTTCGCTGAGGAAATACTTTTTCGGCCCTCCCACGTTCAACTTGATAAACTTCTTCTGTTCCTTGATGCATGTAGACAATAGAAGCGATAGCGCCCCCAGTACGTTACTGCATTGCAATGCCGAATGAAAAAGACCCGTAGCTTTAAATCTCTTTACAATATACGACGCGGCGCTGATAGAAATCCGCGTCAACGATTTTTCGTAATTACGTCGCCTAGTCGTTGCAGCCCGAGTACCCACACCACAGACCATGCTACTATTCATTTACCCTCCATTGACGGGGAGCATTTCACACTGATTGGCAAGAGAATCACGCGGCGGTGTGAGAGCCTAAGTCGAACACTTTCACGTATTCACCTGAAATCAACAAACATACTTTGTATGAAATCCTGTGGTGCAAAAAAAATTGCGTCACATTTGGAGTTTGGATGCTTTTTTTGCTCAAACTTAGACAAGATTAATCTAATTACTAATTATTTTCATACTTGTTAATTTTACAGATGCTTCCACTAAATTTAGTTTCCTAAATGTTCTAGGGTAAAAGAGCTAACACTCAAATACTGCACTTTTTGGAATTAAGTTAGCATTTTACTTTACATTTTGAATCAACAAGTTACTGTATATTTGACTTACCAGTAAAGTGTACTTTTTGAATTACACCAATTGCTAGTAGAATACTGTAATTTTTATTTAATTGTAATACAGCCAGCTGCTGTATTCTCTTGATACAGTATAGATAGTACATTGTACAATAGCCTGCTGGCAAAACTGCTGCCAGTAAAATACTGCCATTTTGAATCATTACTGTAAATTACAAAAATAATATAGCAGCTAGGATACTGTAATTTTTACAAGCGAAACAGCTTCCAGTACTTTACTGTAATTTTACAGTAAAAGGCAAATATGGTACATACTTTGATTTTACAGTTAAAGGTTTTACACAACGTTTCTAGGAATACACTTAACAGGGGATGCTTCGAAACATTGGCCCGGCTGTGGACAAACATGCGGCACGACCTACAACGATCCGATCCGATCCGATCCGATCCGATCCGCGCACAACGCCCGCGTCCTGATAATAACTTTACGGTGAAGGAGAGGATACGTTGGTATCAACCAAAATACAGTTTCCTCAAAAGATTCCTTAATGTTCCCTGTGGTTTGCAACTTATGTTTTTCTTAAAGCCAACCCGTGTCACGCGTGCGTCAGAAGGTTTGTGGATGACGAGTCTCACACGCACGCACACACACACGGCGAACGTCTATAACGAAAGACTCAAATGAGCCGTTTCATTCCGTGTGGTTCAAAGCCCCACAAGGTTTCTAAAAATTACCCCACGATCTCAATCATACCAGCGAAAACTAAAAAAACCACTCATGTGATGCACCTGTCCCCAAGGGACCCCAACGACGCCCCAAACTCACCTGATATGCAGACGATAACATTGGCATGAAGAATGATCAGTATTTCCCAAAAGATATCCATCCTCTGCTTTCATTCCACGTGCATTACGCACAAACCGGAGAGATTGAACAGGATAAAACAGCGCGTCTGCGTTCAGTGGCGGATGTCCTGTTGTCCCAGGCGGAATCCCGCTGCACACCTTCCACCAGGTACTTTCCACACCAGACGCATAGCAGGCGATCGCAACCTTTTAAGGAATAAATGTTGCACCACTAAAGGTAACAATTCCACAGACGGTGGAGGGGAGCGGGACGGGGCCGGGCGGCGAAGGGGAGAAAAATGGTTGAACTCCCAAGGGCCAAACAAACGAGGAGCGAGGGACGCGGATCCTCCTGTCAGTTCACTGTGTTATTCCTGCGCGCCGTCAGAACGCGACGCGTCCGCCCATCCATCCGGCACCGAGTCACACGGCGGCCGTCCCGGTGTCCGCGCGGGGGAGGCGCTCTGGGTGGAAGGAGGGAGACAGAGGGGGGAGAAAGTAGTTTAATGAGGTGGGGCAGCTGTGGAAGCGGACTAACGCTCGGAGACGCCTCGCAACTTCGTGAATTGCATCGCCAGGTGGCGAGCCTCCGATCCCGACTTCTCTGCCGTCACCGACGAGGTGCGGAGCGTCGAGCGGCGCGGAGTGAGCTGCACTTCCTGTTCGGACTGTCAAAATAAAAGCGTCGCGTCCCACATCTTATCGCATATAATCCAAAAATATATCTTACTCAATAATGGGCTTCAATTCATAGTAGTAGTGTGACTGCGGGTAATCAGAGTGTCATTGACGCATAGACACAATTCTAACTCTCGTTATCACACTGAACCTTTAATCGGTGCTTTTAATTTGTCCACGGATCGGTCTCGTTTCCGGTCGAGTCGCAGGTTACTGCGCGGAGCTCGACAGAAGGTTTGGCCGCTCGCATCCCACCAAACACCCGAGAGAACACGCGCAGACGACCCGAGCGCGCAGCGCAGTTATTAGTCCGGATGCTCGAGCTGGTTTAATGACAAAGAAACGAAACACACTCACACGAAACACACTTACAGCAGACCGGAAAAAAACAATCTCACAGTGTACAGAAAAGAAGCTCAGGGCGGGAGACTCCAAACAGCGCAGCTCTGGTTCCGTCCTCCGAACTTCAAGTCGACAGTGGACGAAAATAAAAGCTGTCCAACTGGTCAAAAAAAGACAATCCGCCCTCGAAGGATCTGACGGATGATACGCAGTGAAGTAACACAACTCCAGATGTGAGGAACGACCCCGATGCTCGCAGCAGTGGTCCGGCACCGGGCGCCCAGCGGTGCCATTCAGGTCTGCGGGTCCGGCTCAGCACGCAGGGGGTTACGATCCACGCGCAGCAGATACGCGCGCGGCCATACGCAGCGGAGGCGCGCACACTCGCGGGTGGGGGGTGGCGATAAACACCGCGCACTGCAGTTAAAAAAAATGTGTGTTTAGGTGTTGGAATATTTGTTTGTGTTGACAACAAACCTCACAACCGGTTTGCCAGAAAAGTTGCAAAAGCCGCGTGTGGTATCGCAGCGCTGCGCGTGACTGGAGGAAATCAGATTTTGACTTCAAACATGATTTCCCCCTCCATGTCCAAGAAGGACAGGCAGCATCTTTCCCAATCTGCTCATTTTATACACACACGTGAAGGTTGTGTGTGTGTGTGTGTGTGTGTGTGTGTGTGTGTGTGCGCGCGCGCGGGTTGTCAATAGATTTTTGGATTTTTTTGCAAAGCCCTAAATAAAGAATCCCATTTTGAACTTCAATAATCTAGATCAGATCTGGAATACTCCTGATTATATACTGTGAAGAGGTCCAGTTAGAGAACATTTCGGAAAGAGGTCCGGAAGATCATAATGTGACTAGTGTGATTAAACTGAGGAATACAGTATCATTTGCATCAAAACACAAATCAAATGAATTCAGTACGATTCTAAAACTCCTTTGACAATATTTATTGTCACGTAACAAGAAACTGAACACATATGTGTGACTGAAAATATAAATAATGTTAATGATAATGTTAACAGTAGGGCTGAATTTAAAAAAAAGTTCAAATATGGCTTCAATTCAGAAAAAATAAAAACAAGAAGAAAAGCGTGAAGTTCCCATTTTCTGCTTCACATGTGGACTCAATTATTACACTTATAAATAATCAAAACTTATTTTAACAATTGAACAATATATATAATCTGCACTCTCCCATTTTTTTGGATAAGTGGGAGAATTTGTATCTAGTTTTTCCTGCCAGGATTTTAAACCTGGGCCTGAATGCATCAGGGCCGTTCTCCTCCTCACGTGGAGGAGCTCATTGAGCCTCATGATGGCGTTTCAATGGGCTCTGAGAGACACTGGTTTAGTGCTGCAGTGGGAAGTATGAACAGAAGCCAGTCTGTCCATTATGGATTAAATGCTCTACTTTCACAGTCACTTCTTCCTCATTTTTCTCACCCGCCCGTTTCTCTCGCTTTCTTTGTCTCACTCGTCTTTTTTCTCAAATATCGCGATCTTTCTTTTCTTCCTAGTCTTTTTACTTGTAATTTTCTGCTCCCTCTCTCGTCTGTCTGCAGTATTAAGACGATATCATCAGCCTATAGCCATTCGAATGCAAATGCTCAGTGCTTTAATGGCGCGTTTCCACCGAGCGGTGCGGGTCGGGTCGGTACCCTTTTATTTGTGTCTCCACTGCCAAAAGTTGAGAATGGTACCAAAAATCCGAACCGTACCGTACCACTTTTTGGGTACCCTTCCGTTGGGGAACCTGGCACAGTTGTTTGGTACTAAAGGGCGGAGCTAGACTCACTGCAGAACGTTGATTGGTTGAAAGAGTGTCGTCATTTGCGCGTGCCGCAAGGGGAAAGACAACACACGTAACACACCTGCAGCATGTCGCCTTTGCTCAAACACAGAGTGTCGTCGCCTTGTGACAAACAGCCACATATCGAGAAGCAAGAACAGGATCGCCTGTACGTCCTCCATTGTTGTTTGCGGTTAGCTTTCAGTTGTCGCTCGATCGAATAACGTCAATCTACTTTCCGTCATATACCACGCCTATCAAGTGACGTCATCACTACTTTCTGGAATACACCACGCCTATCAAGTAAGGGTACTGTTGGCGGTGGAAACGCTCGCCAAATCATGGTTAACAGACCCGACCCGTACCGACCTGTCCCGTACCGTACCGTACCGCTCGGTGGAAACGCGCCATGAGTCACTACCGTAAAGACGAGTGAAGTGCGAAGTCGAAAAGTGCGCTGTCACGTTTAAATCACAATCCCAATACTTTTTTTTGCTTTTGGTCCGAGTCCGGATGGGGCGGCTTCTGGGTCCAGATCCGCACCGCGGCCCACAGTTACAAATAATTACTTTAGAAAACGTATTTTAGACACTTTAATTATATAGTGTTATTTAAACACAAAACTACACACATTCGATCAAGCCACGGATCTTGAACTGACTCTTCCTGCTGTCCTCGTGCACTTTCCTGTGCTCTCAACCCTTCATCATTTAGCGGCTGTGTTTCAAGTACGATCTCCTGACATTTAGCCAGGACGTTTTCCAAACCACCGTTTTAGGGCAACAGTGGTGGTCCTGTGAGTGTTGAGATGGAAGTAGCCTAGCAGCTACCAACATGTTCCAGGCACTACCAGTCTTAGTGGTAGTGCCACTCGTCCCCTTCTGTTTGACATGTGGAGGAATTCCTCTGCAGTTTCCCGCTGTATGTCTAACTTCTGTTGGTTTTACTTCCAATGTAAAAAGCTCTCTCCATCTTCAGCTACCGTCTCAGTCTCTCTGATCAAACTGCAGCACGCAACGCTTTCGTGTCAGGTGTCAACGCACAACGGAAGTATTTTATCGTATTAATCTCAGCCACAATAATGTCATAGTTAAACGTGTTAACTTTGACAGCCCTAATATATACACACCTATATGTGTCCTTCTGAGTGGCGAACCTTCTTATTAAAGTCAGAAATGTCCCTGACAAGTGTCTTCTCCATGGAGAGCATAACCAAAGCAGGAAGGAATGGCGCCGGTAGATACCTTGATGAGAACGTGCGAGCTTGGGCCAAAACGAAATGTTGCCCCAAGCTGAGTCTATTAAAGGACGCTGATTGGCGAAATTGTATGTCACACATTTTTTTAATTAATAAGCAATTGGAAAATCTTAGATAAAATATATATTTTTATTTTACCTGGGAAATGTAGAGTCTCCACTTTGCATAGCTTCTTCAGCTTCATTGGTTTTAGTCAGCAGAACTATTTGGTTTAGCTTCGAGAAAGTGGTTTGGGTTGAAACGGGTATTTTTCTTGTGTAAATTAAATGTGCTTGTTCCTTGTAGTTTGAGCACCATTTGCGTCTGAGTAGGCAATGCAAATGTAATTGTATAGCACATTTTAAAAAAAGGCACTTCCCAGTTCTAAACGTAAAACCATTGAAACCATCAACAGAAAAGGACATTTAAAAATAATTAACAAGCATAAACAGACAAAACAAGTTGCAGTGCAGTTAATACCCTGACCTTTCATCAGTTCCCTAAACCAAAGATTTTGAAGCGTCATCCTTAAATCCGGTTAAATTAAAGGCAGCCGCAAACCGAAAAGTATTTAATCTTGAGTCCCAGCAGACGTCCCGCTTTCCAGCAGTTTGTTCCAGATATTTGGAGGGAAAAAAACATACGTTTTTTAATGAGAAAACCAAGCTTTTCAGATGTTCCAATGTTTTAAAATACACCCCCTTTTTACCAAAAATGTGAACCTACCCTTTAAACTCCATGCGACCAAAGCACCCCCATAAGCCGTTTACGTGTATTGGAAAGTATTGAGGGATGGTGTTGGTGTTTTAGTGGAATTCTTTGAGACTTTCAAACTAACACAAGCCTTGTACAATATTAAATACTGCTAGCACATACAGGTCACTGTTGATCCCTCCTTGATAACAGGGCTTAGCGTAGGAGCTTTCTGTTCATTTAAATGGAAACCACTATTTTGTCAAGCTCTCTTCAGCTTTCCAACCACTAGCTGGGAAAAATATATATCCGTCACAAGGAAATACCAAGCTTATTACTTCACCTGTATTCTTTCATTTGGAAAATCCAAAAAAATTCAAATAGAATTTTGTCACAAGGTGTTTAATGGACTGACGTAACGCTAGGATTTTTCTCCATTTATGCCTTCCTGTTTGTGGCCTCTGTAATGTTTGAGTAACAAAGGCCAAGCAGGAGGTAGAGAATGACAGACAATCAATAACATACACCGCCAGATTTTGTCAAGAGCTACTTTCCCACGTCAGAGAGGTGCATCCCTGCAGACTCTACAGTCCCTCTGTATCTAAACCCGTCAAGTCTCATCTTGTGTCTCTTTCCCATGTGTGGGCCCTTGTGAGGACGACTTTTCAATTTTCACATTCTCCTGGAAGCACACAATAGTACATTGTTTTAACCAACGATAGGGTTGTTATTCAGCAGGAAATTGCTTGTTCATCTTTCTGATTGGATTCCCCCATCGGTCCACCTCTCATTCATTTCATGACCTGTTTTATCAAATCTAGTCTGATCATGAAGGAATGGGAGACAGTTGAGGTTCATGTTTTATTTTCAAATGCTGTTTGGACGAGAGATCATTCCCTGTGAATCTGGAAGTTAATTTGGATGAATAACTAATTCTGTAAGGAAGGAACTGAGACTCAATCCCTTACACGTCCAAAACTTGTGTTAATTAACAAAACCTCCTACCAGTGTCGTACTTTTTTTATAAACAGTCCAAAAAGTGCCGCTCCCCATTTCCCTTCTATGGAATAGCGATGGTACCTTGGCAGATCAGACAAACGCACTTTGAGAATGACATTGTGAAAAAAAAGTCTTGGTGAGATTTGTGTAAGATCTTGTGTAAGATCTGGAGTATCTTGGTAAGATACTCCAGCAACCTCACTCATTTTGAATCTAATGAAATGGGTTCGTTGACAAGCAACGATAGCGATAGCGCGGAGAGCAAATCCAACCAACTCAGGTGCAAAAGAAAAAATTCACACACACCCATCAAAAAATAGAACGGATTAGCTTGGGGTGGAGGAATACCACCATTTGGTGGAGGAAGACCACAAGAGAACCAGCCGCATTTTTTGCAAAGCACTCGAGGCCCGCGGACTTGCCAACAATGAACTGTCAACGTCGTCGTCCACCAGCACCGGCGAATTCTTCTGCTGACTTTATCAAGGGGAGCGAAAACATCAACAAATACGTGTCCTTCAGTCACCCGGCGACCGAGCAACATAACGTGAGTGATAACCAAGTATTATTATTTTGAAATGATTTAGTTACCGCAAGGAAATTAA